GAGCCATAGACTTTTACTAGATCTGCTTTCCCCACTCCAGAGTTCCTAAATATTCTGCTAGAATCTGGAGATTAGCAAAGAATATCTGTATTTAAAAGTATAATTCTCATTCAAACTAGCAGGTTTGTAATTCTTTTATATTGAACCAAGGCAAATCTCATTCAAAGTTTATTCAAAAATGGATGTGAGATTTTAAATATACAGTGTGTATGTGTGTGTGTGTGTGTGTGAGAGAGAGAGAGAGAGAGAGAGGAATATATTCAGAGGTAAGATTTCCACTTCAGCCTGAACTCACCTTATGTATTTTGGTATGGGAGGGGTCCCAGGTCAGTGAGAGGTCTTGTGTAGCTGGGCCTCATAATAACTGGCTGAGGTATGGATGAAGTGAAAGTCTTACTCTGTGTTCTCTGGCTTTTGATAAATCGAACAAGTCATTTTATATTATTTTAATATACTTTTTGTATTTAATTTCCTTTGAATTGCATAGGGTCCCTCAAAACCAATAAAATGTAAATGGAAAAGCAGATTTTTCCCCCATTTTTTACTACAGTTAAAAAAAACAAACCAACCCACAAATGGAACATTAAAGTTTGTCCATTGATAAATTATAACTGGGTCCAAAGCTTTTGGCATAGAATACTTAATACACATGTACAGGCTAATCCATTGGCTGAAATTTTGCATAGTAAGAACACTACAAATGGTAATGTGAAAAGACTGACATTGTCTCAATTCCAAAGGGCCCATTTACAATTTGAATCATAGTATGCATTGTCTCATTAATATCTATAGGAATTTGTTTGTTGCTATTATATAGGAAAGTACATATAAGCCAAATTTTCAAAAGGAGTTCAGACCCAGCCTCCATTTGTGTGTGCACAACTTGCATGCACACTTTTCCGTGCAGTTTTTTCACCATCCCTTGTGCACAGAATTGATGGTATAGATGAGTAAAACACATTTGGCCAAGAACTTCAAAAACTGATTCCTAATGTTAGTTCCCTCAGTTCGTATTTAGGTACTTAAATAACTGGCCTGATTTTCAAAAGTGCTGAGTACCTTGTAGTTCCTTGCATCTGCCATCTCTGTCCCCATCTTCCCCATGCCCCACTGGAGGATGTTTGTTTTCAAATTGTGTTGCTCTGGCTCTTGGAATTGCTGGACTTTCTTCTTCCTGGATTCTGTTAGCACTCATGAAATTAATCGAGCTCATTGCTTTTAGCAGTAGTGACACACTCTAAAATTTAATAGAATACATGCGACCCTCCAGAACCTGGGATGCTAGCAAACTCCAAATCTCGCAGGTTATTTGGGCAATTCTCCCTTGCAAAACTGTAAGCGTTGGTAGCTGTGCACAGATCCCAGCACAAGCAGCTGGACTGTGCTTTTCCTGCAGCAGGAGCTTGGATGGAACCTGAAAAAAAGGGGCACATGCTTTGTATATACATGAGTCAGTTTCACAAGAGTTATCTCAAAGAATCATCTTACTAGCTTTCCTGCTAATCCTCAGTGCTTCCTTGTACACAGGGGACAGGAGTCAGGTATATGTGTGGGCAGTGAAGAGTTGTTTCACCTTCCCATCCAACAAGGCTAACGCCAGCTCTGATCAGGCCCTAAAAATAATATAAACTATTCAAAGACAGGGTTGATAACAGAAACACAGACAGACCAGAAGCAGGAGCAATGATACTTGATAACTCAAAGAGCTGAGGGAAGAGAGAAGAGATTCCCTGTTCTTATAAGAATTAACAAGTGAGGCAAGATGGATGAGGTAATATCTTTTATTGGACCAACTTCTGTTGGTGAAAGAGCTACATAGAACTCTTCTCTGAGTAGCTCAAAAGCTTGTCTCTCTCACCAACCAAAGTTGATCCAATAAAAGATATTACCTCACCCACCTTGTCTCTCTAATATCCTTGTACCAACACGGCTACAATAACACTGCATACAATTAATTAACAAGTTAATATTTCTTTGGTCTTTAAAGAAAATTTATTTGGCTCCTTTTTTCACTAATTATAATTCCTGAAATGAACATTTTAAATTTAGAAATAATACTCCTCAAAAATATTATTCCACTGTGTGTTGTTCTAGTAAAACACCAGGGCCTTTTACAGGCCATTCCACAAAAATGTTGACAACTTTACTTGCAAAGTATGTGGTTTAATATTCATTAGACCTCTTTTCCCTCTGTATATCAACTCATCCAGAAGTGGGGAGTACCAGGAGATGGGGGCAACATCAGCCACTAAAAAGGGGTGCCAAAATGGGATGGTGCTTCCTAGTCTTAGCACCTAAACTTAATATACTGAACCCAAAACAAACACACATGGCTTTTTAAAAGAGTATGTGTGTTTTTTTTTCAAAAGTAACATGAGCATTAATTAATGAGCCACAAAAATTCCAGCTGTTGGCCACAAACTTTCTTATGCCTTTTTCTGGCACAAATGCATTTCCTTCCTCTCCCCATTCCTGTATTTCATTTCAGTCTGTAGTGTGGTATTTGCCTATACTCTCTGAACACTCTTGTGACACACCCATGGAAAAATACATGCCTTTTTTGTTATAAATTACGCATTTGAATGCACCATCCTGACTTGTGCTTAAAAAAATTGGAACTCAGTGTCTCTATTTGTGGTTACTATAATTTGCAGTATAAGACCCCAATTCCAAGTTGAAGATGGTTTTGGTGAAATGTAGACAAATTCAGAACTAACTCCTCATCCAGTTTTAAGATCCTAACTAGGGCTCCAGTGGTAAACTTGTTAAAAAAAATTAAACCACTCTATGTGAATTTGGTGCTAGATTGAGAGCCCTGGAGTCTGAAGCCCTCTTTTTGACCACAGGATAAGTACAGTGTAGGTTGTGAAAGCTGTTACCCAGTGTTTTGCCGTGTGCTTCAGTCCTCTGGAAGGACCACTTGTTACTTTCTCCTCTTCTTGTCTATTCCATCCCTGGCCTCTCTGCAAAGGCTTTTGGTGTCAAATGTGGTGGTGGTTTTGTAAAATGGGTAGTTTTCGACTAGGAGCAATACCAAGACCACCGCACTTTTTCGCATAGTCCCCATACAGTCATTAGAAGAAAACAACTTTCAATCACTACTGACCTGGGTCAATTTGGAAGTAGCACCTTAAACCCCTGAGCCATTCCATCAAACTTTTTAGAGGCAAGTACTTACCCTCCCTGTATACATTTTTAAATTAAACTATTTTATTTAACAAAAAGCACCATGCTCACCCCTAGAAGAGGAGTATGATGCAGTGGTTAAAGCACATGACAGAGACTAATGAGACAAGTTCTATTGTTGGCAATGACATGGATTTGTGTGATCTTAGGGCACTTAACCTTTCTATGTCTCAGTTTCCCAATCTGTAACAATGAGGCTGGTAATACCAGAGTAGTCAAAACTTGCTTCAGAAGGGCGTTGTGAGGCTTAAATCATTGTGTAAATGTTTGGAGATTCTTGGATGAGAGAGAGGTGCTATGACTATTATTAATATGTTATTAATGTATTCAAATCTTGCTCTTCCATTCCAAATACCCATTGTTATGTGACTAAAAATAGATTCCATTATTTTCCTTACCCACTATGGAGGCACATACATGTCAACACCCCCTACCACAAATACATACACATATTCAAAAATTTCAATTTTCTAGGTTCTTTATTCCCTTAATGGAGTACTTTGATATATCCGTTACAGTACTAACAATGTAACCATCTTAGTAACAATACCATGGACAAGAACAAAAACATTTTGGGTTATTTGAGCTCTTCAGGTTTTAATCTAGCCTGTTTATTAGGTTCTAAATCAGCTGTTCATCATAAGGCCAAATAGTTGAAGAGTGTTGGAAGAATAACAGACAGAATCCTGCCCTTCACATTTCTGCAATATAAATGCCCTGTGAAGAGACATAGGACTTCAATCCCCAAGTTTGTCAATCCCTTATCTTTCATGAACGTTAAATTTACATTTAAAGCTATTTATTCAAAGTAGCTTGAACCACTAGAATAGGGAAGATCAGACAAATCAGTTGGAAGAAATGAAGTATAAGGAAACCAGAACACTCTGACAAAAATATTCCTTGGAGTAAATATGTTGAATGAAGCCAGCAGGTAAATGATAAGGGCCTATACAATCTTGATGTAAGAAAGCAATTTATCAAGAGTACATGAACTCTCCAGTGAATCCAAGAAGAAACCAAAGTGCAGGAGGAGGAACCCCTAAAACATTATTTTAAAAGCTCAAAAAGTTCTGTTTAAAACAAATAGTCTGGAAATTTAGGTTCTGTGATAGAATCCATAAAGTGGAAAAAAAATTGAGAGCAAATAGTGGTATATGCTGAAATGTATGATGCCATATGTAATTCCATTACATTAAACATTACATAAGGGGATAAAGAATTACTAGATACTCCTCCCAGCAAACCAAAAATAAAGCTCAAACCTCCTGCAAACCTCGCCTTCCCCACTTCTTTAAGTTATTAATATATTTGATCATAAAATTCATACAAAAGAGGTAAGTTGAATTGAATTGGCTATGTTTGCTAGCAGCTAGTTCAATTAGCAGTAAATTGATTACTCCAGTTTACGATTATGCACTGCAGCAGTTTTTAAAACATTGCAGTGGATTCTATTTTCTGTAGATTAAGGCTCAAATCATTCATTTGGGTGCATCCATTTCTGGTCACCCCAATGTGAGATACTGAGGGCCCGATTCTTCAGAGATTGTGTGTGTGCCCAGAACTCCAATTGAAGTTAATGGGAGCTGCAAGCGCTCAATACCTTTGAAAACCAGCAGGGCACCAAAAACTTAAGCATGAAAGATTAAAGGAAACTCTTGAATGTTTGAGCTTATTGCTTACTGTCTCTAGTCTGTAGTAAAGAGGATTCACTTTGTGTTTAGGTAAGACTCACTTCGATATGCTTTAATAATCTTACTTTTATTTTCCTCTTTCCCCATCTCTGTGTCTACTCTTACCCAACCTGTATCCGTCAGCTTTGGACAAGCTTAGCACTCAGCATCTGTACCACCCTACCCAAGTGGAGATTGTGCAGTCCAACGTAGTGTTTGACATCAGCAGCCTGATGCTCTATGGTACCCAGGCTGTGCCTGTGAGACTGAAGATACTGCTGGACCGACTCTTCAGTGTGTTGAAGCAGGAAGAGGTGCTGCACATCCTGCATGGCTTAGGCTGGACGCTTCGGGACTACGTGCGGGGCTACATCCTTCAGGTAAGAAGAGGTTTAAGGCATGTAGTAAAAATTGTTTGGCTGACCATTATTTTGTATGTTGAAGTTACTAACAGTTGTGCACCCAACATGCTTTTTACTAAAAGTCTGTCCTTTTAACTGTGGATCTTTAGGATAAATAACTGTGAGATGTATTTGACATGTTGTACCTTGACTGTGGTACAGTATATAAAACTTGCTAGTTTTACCTAAGGTACAGATTCCTATCCACAGTATTCCCTTTTACTTCCCTACACTTAGTGTAGGAAATACCTTGAATACTGCAAATACTGAGGTTACTTAGCTGCAAGCCTTATTTAGATACTAAGGCAACTGGCATGTTTTCAGGGGCTACCACTCAACTTCTATAATCTGAAGTCCAGTGCAGTTGCTCTTTCCTTCCTTCACTCATTTATTTTTGAGGGACAACTATCCTATAGTATATTAAAAAGCCATATTCCTGATATAAGTTCATGGTTAAAAGCTAACCTTTGAGCTTTTACATGTACTCTTACAGGTTTATAAACCCATTCCTTTTGTAAAATTGTAACAGCTTGATTTAGTCACAAAAAATGGCATTTCCATGTTTAATCTTCACCCAGTCACCTGCATTAAAACATGGCATCCGTTAGCTTCCAAGATGATTTATTATGCTAACTGTTCAAAAGGGGATTTCAGATCTCGTGTCCTATACCGCATGGTGCTGAGTGCCCTACATTGCTACGGGCTTCCAGGAAGTTGAGTGCGCTCAGCACCTTACAGATTCAAGCCCATAATTTGGACATACCCAAATGAGCCAACCTTGATTTTGAAGATTACTATTATTGCATTTTTGTATTTATTTTATTAATTTATTTAGGTACAAATAACATACTTGGCATGGTACAGAACACAGAGGAGTCTTTGTTCCTGCCCAAAGGAACTTTCAATGCATATTTCTTTTATTGCCTGTTTCATGCAACATCCTTTCTGTAGAGGAAGCTCATTAGCCTGCACATAATTACACAGTCCTTGATAGATCATGTTTTCAAAGAAATTATCTTAAAACTCCTTCTAAAAGATTGTCATCGTAAACAGTTCTGCATTGTAGAAAAAAAGCAAAGAAAAAAAAAGGCAAGTTTTTTAGATTATTTTAGCATTCTTTATGGATTTTTTTTAAAGCTAAATTTTACAGGTGTCTACAGGTAAAATATAATCTGCTATGATTGTAACCCAGTTTCAGAAATTAGAATTGATCTTTTCAGAAAACATGAATGCAGTGTGTCTTGTTACATGCTGTAGTTGCTAATAGGTGGCTTGTATTATTGACAGAATATGGATATTTTTTAGTGATGCCCTGTATGCTTTGCATTACATTTTAAATTCCTGGATTCTGAAGGTTGTTGTTTAAAAAGGGTGAAAAAATCCTAGTATCCAGATGGTTCCAGATGACAAGCTTGCTTCTTATTTAGAGACAAACTGTTCGTTTTCAACCATATGATAAAATCAAGATAAATATAGGGTCGGAAACAACATTGCAAGCCTCGGATCCGATTCAGTAACCCTTGCAGGCAAGAAGAATCTCACTGAAATCAGTGAGACTGCTCATTTAAGTGTTGCAGAATCAGGCAATTATCTGTTGGAATCATCTGAAGATATGCTAGAATGGAATGTAATATAATTATATAGAGGATTATAAACAGTCACACTGTGCGTCTGAATGGTGTAAAACCCTATAATACACCATTAGGCTAGAGGTCAGTTTATCTGGCTAAAACTCAATCGTATTGTAGCCCTCAAGGCATCAATTTTACCATTATTGCACTCAACAACAGTATATTGAATATTATGTCAGTTAAAGAGAATAATTATTGAGGCGAGTTAAGGGCGGCTGTTAAAGTCTTACCACATATTGACTTGGTTTGCAATTGGCTGTAGATTGTGTTACTGGGCAGATGAAGACGTACTGCAAGAGACTTAGTCAAGTCTGTCTATTAGTTTAGCTCTCTAATTTTGTTTGTATTAACGCTAGAAAACAAAGTATATGGGGGGAAAAGAGAGTTCACAAAACATGTTCAGTGAAACCTGAAGGAATGTGATCAAAATCTTTGCTACCTAACATTAGCATTTATGTTTTGGTTTTTAAATAAATACATTGCAAGTAACTTTTTCTTTAGTGGAGGAGGCTGGTGTAAGGTAGAATCTGTATGGGAACATGTGGTACCCTAGCCACCGGCACTTTGAGTTCACAATAGTGAATATTATAGTGTGCAGGTTTTTCTGTGAGGGTCATCACTGTAGAACTTGAGCACTTCCCAGATATTACTCTGTTTTTCCATACAAAAAGCTGGGTATGGAAGTATTATTAGCCTCATGTTACTGATGGGGAGACAGAGGCCTAAAATTAATTGTCAGAATTCACACATGGAGTCTGTGGCAGAATGGGGAACTGAACCCAGATCTCCTGAGCGCCAGTCCAGTGCTGTGGCTACCAGGCCTTTCTTCCTTTTGCATGCAAATTCATTTCTGTTATAACCTAGTGTATTCACTTGCTCAGAATTTTCCCATATGTATGTACACAGCCAATGTGCTTGGATCTACTTAGCAAAAACTTGTCATGTTTTCAGGAAGTTAGCTGATTTCAGCCACTCCCCTATCACACAGGGGAAACTAGGACCCAGGTGTTCTTCCCCTGCCTTGTGACCTTGGGGGAAATTTGCAGATAGTAACTAGTCAGAGACTTCCGTGGGTAGGCGCAGCTGGGGAAGCTTCCAGGCACAAACATTCAGATATTCTGAGAACTTACAACAGTTTTGGCTGAACTGTCTCTGCCCTGTGATGATTGGCTGTTTGCTTCAACCTTCTCCCTCACAGTCTCTTCACCTCAGTTTTACTCCACACCTGCCCCTCTGAACCTCTTCTTCCCTGCCTTGTCCTCTCTCACCTCCCTTCCCATCAGGGTCCCTTCTCCCTTTACTTTTCTTTCCAAGTAGCTGATCTCTTCCTAACTAAATCCACCAAAAGAAGAAAAAAAAAATCACAGGACTAACATGACATTGTTTGCTATCATCATCCTATCCATAGTCTAGGTCCGTAATGAAGGGGAATCTCAGCAGCAGTGCCCATTGCAGATCTCCATGCACCTAGTCCTGAATACAAATTCCATAGAGCGGGTTTCCATCCAATGTGGAAATTCTGATATTTCAACGTTTGTTTTTGTCCTGAATGAGGATAAAAAGTCAAAATACTGGAAACTTTCACGGAACAGTGAGTTGTGAAAAACTTTGATTCGGAAATGTTGAAATGCTTTGTTTAGATGTTTCCAGTCAATACCAAACATTTCAACATTCCTGAACTGAAATATTTCAGTTCAGTTCAACAAATCAAAACAAAATATTTTGCTTGGCTTGATTTGACATTAGTCTGTGTTCCCCCAAGCTGCCGTGGAGTCTGGTGGAAGTTGTAGTTCAGGTGCCTCATGCCTCCATTTACCTCTATGGATTGGGTTCCTCACCTGAACAACAAGGTGCATCCCATGGTGCACCTTGGTAAAATGATTCCCATAATGCACCACAGTGATTCAAAGAGAGGGAAGACCATAGAGCACTGTGTGAGATGTAGTAACAGCTAGGGAGCCCGACTCAAAAAGGAGAATGGAAGCATGAGGCACCTGAACTAGAAAAACCTATGAGACATCATGGCAGCTCAGGCAAACACAGACTAATGTCAAACTGACCTGAAACTAAATGGGTCCATTTGGTTCAAGAAACTAAAATGTTTTGGTTGTGTTAACCTGAGCTGATATGAACTGTAATGTTTTTATTGTCCCAATGGAAAATTTTAAAAAATGAGTACAATCAAAGCTTTAAAATTTTCAGGGAAAATTCCCAGCCACCCATATTCCAGAACAATTTACAGAGGAACAGGAGAGGCACACCTAACCCAGCCAGTGGTAAGCAAGTCAGACAGCAGGACTGTGCTGGTGTATGTTTGTCTTCCACACGGGTGTGATTCCCCCTGGCTTTTGGCTGCTCAAGGATTTTGTCTTTAATAGTGAATTTAAAAAGTAACTTGGACGGGTAACATTTTTTGTGCTTATGGAATGACTTGTTGCATCATTCAGCCAAACCCTTAATGGACCATTATAATGATACAACACTGAGCACAATAGGCAACTCAGGGCGTTGGTAATGTGATAGTCTTTCACCAAGGTTAGAATCTAGGCAAGGTCGATAATGGGGGAAAGTCATTAACACCTGTAAGTTGTTCAATGGCCAGTGCACAGTGAATGGTGGTCTTTATCTAGTTCCTGGTGCACAGGTGTACACATCATAATTGACACTGGTTGACAATCTGGTAAGCAATCTCAGCAGAAGTAATGTGGGAGACTAAACTATTCTTTCATTCCTAGAGTGTGATCCCAGGGAAGGGAAACTGTCTGGGCTATATCCATTCTGTGGACAAAAAAAGGGCTTTAGTTTTTCGGGCTGTTAACCTGTTGTCTACCAAAAGAAATGAATTTGTTTTATTTATTCTACTATTCTGGTACTGAACTGTAGGTCTTCTCACTGAGAAAGTGCAATGTGAATCCATTTTTGTGTCAGTGAGTTTTTCTGTCATCCAATTTAAATATGCTGGTTCAGATTCTGGCACCCTTACTCTGGCTCAACTTCCATTGATTTCAATTGGGCCATAAAGAATTGCTTAAGGTGAATAAGGGTTGTAGATTCTGATCCTTTACAAATAATGTTTTTATGTTGTTGTTAATAACAATTCAGTACTTTTAAAAGCCTTTCATGAGCAATTAATACTTGCAGCATCACAATACGGATGGGGAAGTTAAGGCACAGACATCGAGTTAGTGGCCAGGATTAGAATCTAGGTATTCTTTATGCTTTCCTGCTCACATACCATCTGCAAAAATCCTACCATAGGCATTTAGTTAAGAATTCCACTGCTGCTGCATGACCCAGAAAAGACTCCAGCTCAGTCTCCCATTTCTGTGATGGCTCGGCAGGGCTAAC